AAGACTCTCCAGTGCCTTTCCTCCTTGCTTTGATTTCCCTGACTGTGGAAGCATCCTGTCTTGTCTGATAGTCCATCTAATGCCCATCCCGCTGGGCTCCATCGCCTAGAGCAAAGGGTAAATGCCTTGGAGTTCAGGAAGCCCTACCTGTGGGTGAGCTCCTTTCCAGCTGCTGTTCTTTCTTACTCTCCTTCCCCTTCCCCACTCTCCAGGCAACATGGAGCTAATAAATGCAGGGACATGAGCCCTGGTCTGTGGAAGGCCAGGCTGGCTCCTTGCATATCCCAGGTACAACCTCTGCCAGCTGTTTCCAAATGCCTACCACTGCTACAAGGATAGAATAGGCAAGGACCTGTGACTGGTTTGATACAGGCCTCCCAAACTAGCAAACAGCACTCCAATGGGAATATTAGGGTATCAATACGAAAAGAACACAGAGAGCACCCCATGTACTTCAAAGGGGCACATCACAGACTCTTCCTGCACTCCAGCCACAGGGCCTTTGCACATGCTGTTCACACTTTCTCCACCATTCTTCCCTCTCCTTGTTCACCTATTAATGCCTACTCAAATGCCACTTCCTCAGGGAAGCTCTGTGAACCCCAAAGTTAGGTATCCTCCTGTTGATTCTCATAGCACCCTGATCTCTCTGTTATAGCAAGTAACGCATAATATAAAGTAATACTTAATGCAAAGATTCCTTTCTTAGGCTAGGTAGGCATTCAACAAGCATTTGTTGAAAGAACGAATGAGTGGCTGGATTACTCTTGCAGCGCTCACACTGCCCAGCAGAACCCACAAACCCTGTCAGGTCCCAGACACTGAATGGCCAGGCTGCAAAGCTGCCCCATGCCTAGCAGGGTCCCATGATAACACACTCCTTGGTCTTACTACCTGACTTCTGTTAGGTCAGGACTAGAAGGCATGAGTCGCAGAGTGGCCTGGGGGTGTGAGAGGGCAACAAACTACACTACCTAGACCATGGGGAGCTACCAGCATCATCCATGAACTTGCCCACATACATACGTGTATGAGTTTACATGCACATGTGTGTATACTATGTGTACGCCCGTACCTGAATGTGTGTAGTTGAAATATGTATATGCACTGGCACACATACATGCATGTGTACGTGTGTATACTGGATACTCATACCCTCGGCACACAAAAGCATGCCTGTCCCCACACACACACCCCACAAGCATAGCCATACATGTGTGGGGATATGTGCCCTTGCACACCCCACCCCTCCATGGTCACCAGATGTCTGGCTCCTGCTGACACTCATTCTAAATCCTTCCTCCTTCTAGGAAGCCTGTCCTAAAGAGGACAGCTCCAGGATGCCTGGGATTCCTGCTTTCCTGAGCAAAGTGCTCAAGTTTCCCTGACCTATGTTCTCCATCCACGAACATAGCTCTGATCCCTGAGCAGCTTGGGGCCCAGAGAGGTGAAGATTCACCTGATGGTGCCACAGATCCTAAGGGTCCAGACTGTCACCCAAGAACACAATGCTTAGAGTGACCCTGTGCCTGTCCCCTTGGGTGCTGCAGAGTCTACTTACCAGTTCTCTCCACCCTCAGCTCTGAATGTTGTTAAAAGGACAAGGCTTGTTGGTCTAGTACAGAACCTTCTAGATGGAGGGGCTACTGGTGAAGAGTCTGTGGCTTTGGGTCAGGAATCTCTGTGTGAATTCCAGCTCAGTCATTTATTAGCCCTGGAACCCTGAGCAAGTTACTAACTTCCCTGAACCTCAGTTTCCTCATCTGTACAGCGGGAAGAGCAGCTTAACAGGCTGGAGATACAGCTGACTCCTGAACAGCCCAGGTCTGAACTGCCTGGGCTCTTTTATAGGTGAATTATTTCAACCAAATGCATGGGTGGAACATATAGTATTCCAGGGATGAGAAGCCTGCACATCTGGAGAGCTGATTTTCTGTAAGGGCAAGTTCCGCAGGGCCAACTGAAGGACTTGAGTATGCCTGGATTTCTGGGAGAGGGATCCTGAAACCAATCCCCAGCGTATGCTGAGAGCCGACTGTAATGCACATAGAGAGTGTGGTTTCCGGGGGTCACGTGATAATGATAGCTGTTGAAATGACTGCTATAGCAACAGCAGCAGCTGCTAATAGTGTCAGTCCTCAGAGGTCATCTCAGCCATCCCCTGCCTCTGGGCATGAGTGCCCCGGGCGCTAAGTCTAGAGGGGACCATAGACATATTTTAATTTATCATTTTGTTTTACAGATGAGCTGCTAAGAAGGAAAGCAGCTTCTGTCTGAGCCACCCAAGCAGGAGCAGGATGAGAGCAAAAGGTCAAGCCTCTGAACACCAGGTCCTCACTCTTTCCCCACCACTAGTGGACACTCATTTTGCTGTTAGTGGAGGCTCTAAAGGCAGGGAGGTGAGATTGTGTGGTCCCCCCACCCCTGCCAGGATACCTAGGCTGGCAGTGACAGCCCTTTCTATTCCAGCATCTCCAAATCACTGTTACTCTTCCACCTTCCCCCAGGACAGGTTACCGGCCACTGAAGCAGTGCCATGCCGGGGTGGTGGCTGGGGAGGCCCCTGGCAGCAGGCTCTGCTCCTGCCTTCAGTGCAAATTAAAACATTTTCCTTTTCTTCATAATTTTTTTTCTGACACAACTGGCCATGAAACATTTTAATAACATCCCCGAAAAGGTCAGGGAGAAGGAATTTCACAGTCCATGAGCAGGCAGCTATAACTTCAGCCCCTCTTTGGACAAAGGAGGTGGAGAGATCAGGCTGACCCCAGGGCAGAATGGAGGAAGGCCAGGTGGGGAAGCCAGGGAAGGGCTGGGGCATGGTTGGTGTGGCCCAGAAACTTGCTGCCTGCTAGGAACTTTGGAGGCACCTTGGGGAGACTAGCAGGTGATGGTGGGTGGGTGGGGCATCCAGGATGCTTTTACCTCCTCTTTACAGCACCTGGGAGGTGTCATGGCCATTTTGCAATGAGGATGTGAAGGCTTTTAGTGTGATAGAGATGGGCACCTAGGTCCTGACCGCTTCAGGCTTATGTCCTGCCTTGAATGCAGTGGAAACAGCCCCTCACACTTCACAGTTCCACAAACCCTGAGGCTAGGCTAGAGAAGGAGGTGGGTGAGGCTTAGATGAAGGAATCTAGGAACCAGAGGCTGGGTGAATTGGTCAACTCTGGGCAGTGACCTTTGGTGGCCAAATAGGAGGCTGAGCTCATCACTCGAAGTGGTCCAAGAGAGGGACTAGAGAAGGGTCAGGTGGGCCCACTTGCAGGCCCTGGGCTGCTCCAGCTCTGGATCAAACCTGGTCTGAGGGGCTCAGTGCAAAGCCACCAGTCTGCCCCTCCCCCTCGGTGTCAGCCCCAGACTGGACTGGGCCTGACACACTTGACCTTGGTGCCACCAGCCAAAGGGTGTCCCTTCTCACACTTCACATCTTACCTTTGCTCCAGAGATTTCCCCTCAACCCTTCTCCAGGGTCATAGGAACTTGGAACTGCAAAGTGAAAACCTCTATCCCTAGCAAGATTGCCAGGAAGGAATCCTCTGACACTTGCCACTAGAATTCTTTGCCATAGACTCCTGGACGTGTGGGGGACAGGGTCTCTACTCCCTGTGAAGCTGCTGAAGTCCAGGCTGGTTGAATGCCCTTCACCCTGACATTTAAAGGTGGGCGGGGGGCTGAAGACACTCTCTTTGGGTCCAGAAGGCCAGAGCCTCTCTGGCTCTTGCTCTCCGAGAGGCTGGAGGAGGGCCCAGGGGCCTCAAGCACCAGGTGATTTATTACAGGGAGTGCCCTGCTGCAACGCAGTGAGCCAGGGGCTGGAGAAGCAGGGGTGGAGAAAGCAGCTGCAGCAGACTTACTGTTTACCTCTGACGGCCTGACTAGCTAAACATCTGTTTGAAATATTAATAACTGTCAGATGGGGAGCTCTGGGGCTCAATGCAGTTTCATAACATCTGTTTGTAGAGTAAACACACTTCTGAGCAGCGGCCTGGTATCACAAGCAATATCTCTGCTTAGAATGGGGATGAAGCAAGAAATGGATGCAAGGACTCTGGGGGCTGCAGGTGGGCAGGGAGGAGTCGGCAGTGAGTTAAAACTTATGACATTCATTGAGCACCTACTATGGGCAAGGCCCTGAGCTTGTGTAGCACCTATCTACTACTCTGATCTGCTCAGCCCTCACCCTCCCCATTTCCAGCTGGTACAATTTAGACTAATTAGTGGGAGTGGCACCGGCATCACAATGATTGGTTTCAGGACGGCCCAACAAACTGGGCCAATGAGAATCAGCTAGAACTACTGAAAAAGATTTTTTCCCACTAGGAATGATAAATTGGTAAAAAGTCAGCCAGCCTAAAGGTACTGGTGCCCCTCCCTGCCAACACAAAAAAGCAGAGCTCTGTGCTGAAGATGGAACTCCAGCTCAGGGGAATGCCTGGATGTGGTCGTGCCTAAAATCACCTATACTTTTGAGTTGCTTGAGTTAACTGTGCTTTGGTTGAACCACTTCAGGATTTCTGTCCCTTGCAACCCACAGTATTGACTGATACAAGTGGACACTAGGAGGGCCCCTTGACAAAGGGCAAGTCCCCAACACGGACATTCGGCATGCTCAAGGAGCATGTTCTCTGGGGCCTGTGCTCAGACAGGGAAGGTCGCCCTCCTCAGAGATGGATGCCACCTTCCCACCCATCATTATTGAAGGCTTCCAGGGCTCCTGGACCACCCCAAAGTCAGTCTCTGTCAGGGAAAAGGTGGAAAACCCGTGGCCCTAGCCTAATTCATCAATCCCCAGATAGGTTCCTTTTCCATATTGCAGCCCAGGCCAAAGTAGCCCCATTACAAAGAGTCCAGAAGCCTTAATGCACCAACAAATATAGCCTCTGGGGACTGCACCACCTTCCCTGATTGCCCAGACTCCAAGGACAAAATCCCTCTGGCTGCCTCACTATGCTCTGCTCCAGAGTGCTCAGTGGCCCTGTAGGACAGCGGAGACTCACCAGGACTGTCAGCACAGAGGTTCCCACGGTGATATTCTCGTATAAGCTGACATTGTACAGTGGCTGGCTGAAGATAGGCCGGTTGTCATTCTCGTTGATGAGGGCGATCTTCACCTTGGCATAGCCCACATGGTCCGGCACACTCTCATTGGCAAAGAGCTGGGTGTGCAGAGGAGGGGCTCAGGTAAGACTTCGTGTCTTTGTTCCCAGAGTCCTTTTCCCCATAAGTCCTTGGGCTGGTCCCAGCCTAGAGCACCTGTTAGTGCCACTGCCTATCCCAGCTGTGTACTACTGTGAGCCCCTCTGTCACTAGTGGCCAGGGATGACCACTGATTCTACCAGGGAGGGAGCTGGGCCAGCAAACAGGAAACAGAGCCTCCTGATGCAGCTCTGAAGATATGATGCTGTCTGGTAAGACTCCACTCAGCTCCTGGACATTTCCTGTCTTCCTTAAAAGGGGAGGTTCAGGCTTGGCGCCTGTGGCTCAAGTGGCTAAGGCACCAGCCATGTATACCTAAGGTGGCGGGTTTGAATCCAGCCCAGCCCCGCTAAAAACAACAATGACACCTGCAACCAAAAAATAGCCGGGCATTGTGGCGGGTGCCTGTGGTCCCAGCTACTTGGGAGGCTGAGGCAGGAGACTCACTTGAGCCCAGGAGTTTGGAGGTTGCTGTGAGCTGTGATGCCATAGCACTCTACCCAGGGGGATAGCCTGAGGCTGTGTCTCAAAAAAAGGGGGGGGAGGTTCAGTCCAGCCCCAGCATCACTCAGCAGGCTCCTCTGGTCATATCCACAAGGAAAGATAATGGGGCAGTAAAGATGGGATTTAGGGGATGCCCCTGAAATCATCATACCCAGCCCAAGGAGTTGGTGAATGGGCCTTACGTCAAAGTCGTAGCGGTCCACGGTCTCATAGTCCAGTGGGATGGCCACCCGTATGCGAATGTCTGCCTTTCCTTGGACGGAGGTGGGGGAGATGATGAAGTGGTGGGAGTTGTTCCCCACCAGGTATACCTCGAACATGCTGTTCAGGCCCTGGGCCAAGAATAGAAGAGAAACCAGTCAGAAAGGGTGCAGGCATCCAGGGCCCACGAGGGTAAGTGGGAGCCACTCCCATGGGGGCAGTGGATGAGACATGGGGCCAAGCAGTCCTTTCCTGGCCCAGCACCCAGACCCCACCTGCCCATGTCTAGGCCCCTTGGAAATTTCCTCTGTTTTTTTCCACCATCCTCATTCATTGAGGATGCCCCAAAGTCCATTTCCATCTCCTGCCCCTTTCTCTCCCTAGGGACCCGACCTAAGGGCAGCTGCAAGACCCAGGAGGGAGACAGAGGGAAAGAGAGAAAAGGGGTGAGAAGTAAGGGAAGGGAAGAGAAGCAGTTAAATGGCTATGACAGGCTTGGACAGGAAAGGGCACAGGATAAGGCTGTGCTGCTGTGTCCCCTTCCTCCTCTGGAGTGAGCCACTCAGGAAGAACAGTTTGTTTCACATTTTACTTTTATAAAATGGGAACAACCCAGAAGACTGAGTGGCAAAGTGAACTGCAGCATACCCCATGCCATGGGGAGCTCTGGAGGACACTGGGTCCCAGGCTGAGCACAGAGCAGGGATCTGCTCTGTGCCTGTGGGCCACGCTATAGTTTTAGGAGCTGGGAGCACCTCATTCTAGCTCTGGTGTTACTTATCATTCTAACCAAGGCTGTGGCTCACAGAGTTCTCAGATGCCTCCCTCTCCACCCATCCTCAAAGCATGAGATGTCTCCATGTTACTGGAGTCCCCAGATCAGGGGAAGAAGCCAACGTTGAAAGTGGGAGATGTGACTTCCTAAACTCCCTAAAGTCTGGCTGGCTTGGAACGTGACTCAGCTTTTCCTGACTGCATGGGGGAAGTTACCCCCACTCTCAAACTCCTCCAGGTGGGCAGCCTGTTATGTGTAACTGGTCAAGGGCCTCTTCTGGACCCTTGTTGCAGATGTCCAGTAGGTCACCAGCCCGGGCTCTCAGTCCTCAGACAGGTCTTGCTCCTGCAGCATAGCCCACTCCTGGCCCAGTGCCCACCACAGCCCCTGTGCACGTGGGCCCTTTCCCTGTCGCACCAGGGGCTGGCAAGGGAAGCCTGGCCTGTCTTCTTGGTTGGGGGGGTCTCCCTTCTGGAACCTGTTTCTGGTGATGGGGGGCAGCCAGACAACCCTAGTCTCAGAAGTCTATACAGAGTCCCTGCAGGCTGGCTCCTGTCCCACTTAGAGTAGGGAGTTAAGTTGGGAAATGATACCCCCAGTGAAGCCTGAGAGTTCACTAGCTTCTTAGGCCCTTGGAGCAGCCCTACAAGTGTCCACTCACATTTGGGGATGAATGCATGTTAATATTTACTCATCAGTCTCTTGAGTTTTTTCCATTTTACCAAATTGGCAAAATAAGGGCCCTCACTTGCATTTGAATTTTTCTCAGAGTCTGTGCCTTGTCCCTGGTATAGAGGGTTTGAGCAGGAAGGTAGAAGCTGAGCCCCCTTAGCCCTGTCTTGCCAATTCTGGGGCCCTGTCAAGCAGCAGGAGCTCCAGAGCCCCCAGCCCAGAGTGGCTCCCCCATGGGTTGTGGGGGAAACACTCCTCTGGGGCTGCTGGGCTGCAGTTTTCAGTTCTCCCTCGTGTGGAATCCATCCGTCAGATGGAGGGGACCAATTAAATGCCCGAAGAGGCACTAATAGCCAAAGCCAGCAGAGTGTGACAGCTCTGAACAGATGACGCCAAAACCTCTCCTGCCCCGAACCTTGGTCTCTCAACCCCTGAGATGGTAAGGGGGGCTGAGCTGAGCCCTCTTTAAACCCGCTGCCCCAGAGCCCACCACAAGTCCTCCCCAAACCCGGGCCCTGCCCTTTGGAGGCTCACTTACCAAATTCTGTCAGTGGGAGTCAGCAGTCATAGGATATGGAGACAGACAGAAGAGGCCGGAGAGGTTTGGAGAGGAGGGAGGAATTGGAGAGAAAAGACAGTGAGATCCTGGGTCAGGATAAGAAAGGGAGCCCCAGATGGACCCCGGGACCACAGCCTGCTGCTTTAGGGGAGCAGACCCCTCTGGCCTCTGATGGCCTGGCTTCTGGGGTCTTGAGGAGGCGTGTGTACAGTTTGCACAGGTGTGCTGGGCAGTGGAACAGGAGAGAGACAAGCCTGGGATCCAGAAGGGAGGGGTGTGGGGCATAAAGGGTGAGGTGGCATAAAGGGTAGGGCACCCGTCTCTGTCAACTCCCTCCTAGAAGGCCGCAGCAGGGGCTGGGAGGGGTGGCTCATCCTTGTATCCTACTCCCAAGAGCCCAGATAAAATCCCTGCAGAAAATAGCCCTAAACACTGTCATGTTTTTATTTTCCTAACATGAAAAATGTCAGAGACATGATAAGCAGACACACGGAAAACATTCCGATAGTTAAAAAGCACACAAGGTGTCTCTCTTTCTCCCTCGGCCCAGCTACTCAAGGGCCCAGAGACAGCCACCATACCCCATACCTGGGTTTCTTTCCCCAGGAAATTGTCACACATATGACCATTACATATGCCTCCCTTCTTTGACACAAACAGTAGCATGCTACACATGTTGCTCTGTATAGGATTTTTTTCATGCAAAACTGTCTTGGCAATTGCTTCATAATTGTACAAATAGATGATTATGTTAACAAGGATGATAAAAAACAGCACACATTATGGAGCGCCTACTCTGTGCCAGGCACTGTTCTAAACACTTCATAAGGGCCAGATATTTGCCTCATTTTCCTTAAAGGCTGAAGTGCTTCCATCACCTGATTACATAGTTCTCTGCATGGTTCTGGAATGCTGAGAGAACCTTGGGCCTCAGGCAGTGTAAACTCCCCATCAGGCCTGGACACACAGGGTGGGCTCAGGAGGTGACCGGGCTACAGCAGCTCTTCCTCACCTTCCCTTGGTTACTCTTCCCATGGCCACAAGATGCAGATGAAAATCCCTCCCATGGAAAAGGAGCTCAGAATGGTTGAGTGAGCTGCCTATGCTTGCACAGGGAGCTGGCAGCAGAGTAAGGGGTAAGAGTGCACCCTCTCACAAACTATGCTGCTTTCCAGGCCAAAGGAAGCACAGGGCTGGTCAGTCTGGGCATCTGCAGCGCCAGTGCACAGCATGAGATGCACTGGTCCTGCAGTCAGTAATGAATGTCAGTTTCTGGAGCTGACTGTGATGGTAAAGCTGAGCACTTCAGAGCCTGACCAAGGAGAGGTCAAGCAGGGGAGATTGCTCCAGGAGGAGGAGTTTTGAGCTGGTGTTAGGAAGCGAGGAAGGTATTATTTTTGGACTCCTTTGGATTAACCGAGGAGGGATTCCAAGTGGAGGAAATGCCTTTAAAGAGGATCCTTAGCTTGTCTCAGAATCACCTGAAAGGTTTATTAAACTGCAGAGTGCTATCCTCTCCCATCCCTCTTCCTCCCCCAGGAATTTCTGATTCTGTAGGTCTGGGTAGAGCCTGTAAACTTGTATTTTTAACCAAGTTCTAAGTGATACTGGTCTGAGTCACCCCTTGGGAATCACCAGCTTGAGCAAAGGCATGGAATGGGGAATGAATAATAAGTGATCTATTATTATTTGGAAAGGGTCCCTGTTAGGGAGGTTTGGAGCCACATTCAAGTCACACCAGTGCTGCCCTCCTCTCCCCAATCAGAACTGCCAGCAGAGCTCTAAAAAGAAATGCCCCGAACCACTGTGTCAGAATCTTGGGATGGAGTGGGGTGGGGGGCTGGGCCAAGTCACATTGTTCCCATGGTCCCCAGAGAACCATCCACATAGCCAGGGTTTGGAAGACATCAGGGGGGCAAGGAGAGCAGCTCACAGGGGACAGGCATAGAGAGGTGCCTCCACCAGGCTCACACCAAAATCACATGGGCAGCTTTAAAACATCCCCTGCCTAGGCTGTACCCTAAACCATGGAAATCAGACTGGGGAGGGGATGGACACCCAGGCATCAGGATTCTGTAAAGCTCTTCAGGTTATTCACGCCAAAGATGAGAACTAGTAGGGTAGAACGGCAGTTTTCCAAGAGTGATTCTGGAACTGTAGCATGAGCATTGCCTGGGACCTTGCTGGCACCTGGGGGCCACCACCAGACAGAACTGCGGAATCAGAGACTCCATGGGTGGGGGCCTGCACTGTCTCAACAAGCCCTCCAGCCATTCTGATGTACGCTGATGTGTGAAAAACACTGGACAGGGTAGTACCAGGGAAGTAGCAAGTCCCAGATCAAAAGAATTGACCTGCAAGATATGGTGGGTGAGCAGAGAAGACTGAGATCCATGAGGGGGCTAGGGCAGCTCCCAGGGCCAATCATGTGCAGGCTGAGGTCAACCATCTGGGTACTGAAGGGCTACCTGAGGAGATGGTGTGAGCTCCATGTCGGTTCAGGTAAGTACCTGGTGAGGCTGGAGCACCCAAAAGGGGATGAGCTTCCTGACCCCACAGGAGAGCTCTCTGGGTCTCCTTCCCCAGAGTCAGCCATCAGAACCCCCAGATCACCTTCTGACCAAGTGCCCTCCAATGCTCAGCCTGCCCCTTCCAGAACCTGCCCAAAGGGCCAGTTCCTGCTTAGATTTGTGACTGTCGGGATGTGTATGTGATTGAGAGAGAGTGATTGCTGAGGCGGTATAAAACCCTTACAGACCACACAGCATTTATTAAATGAAAGTATTTGTCAACCCTGAAATACAGGCTTCCCAGACTTAACAAGAATCTACGCAACAGCCCAATAACATCAGCATCAGCCTGGCCCCTTTTCTGGAGAAGGAAACTGAGGCCAGAGAGTATCTGTCCCAGCACCACAGCTGCTAAGGAAGGACTGGAAACTCCCTAGAGCAGTCAGTCCTGGCCCTTCTGCACAGAACACGGCTCCTCATGCCATGCCAAGAGCTGGTGTGGTGCCCCCACACAACCAAGTGGAAGAACACGGGCCAAGCACCCACCAAGGTCAAGAGCAGACGCTTATCCTGGATTCCACTCTTATCCCGCCCAGCCTCCTCCGTGCCCTTGTCCCACGCCGGGGCTGCCTTGGTGGGGCGGAGGCGCAGGGCAGGCAGGAGGTACTCTGGGAGCTGTCCAGGGGCGATTTTGTTGGGGAGGCAGATAAAGAGAAACATCAAAAGGAGCCCAGTGTGTGTGGAGAGGAGCCCGTGGATTAAATTCTCTTCCAGCTGGGAGAGCCGATGAGGAGGCTGATAGGCGGCCGCCGCGGGTCCGGGAGCCGAGCGCGCGGGCTGGGAGCCGGCGGCTGCCCGCGGGGAGGCTCGGCGGTATTTATTTATCGGGAGGGGGTAGGACACATGAAATGCGGCTCCGGCACTTTGCTCCTGACGACGGCAGACTTCCCCCGAACACGAGGGCAGCGCCTTATCAGCCACTGCCAGAAGGGGCTGTTCCTCTTCCCCAGTTTCCCCAAACCGTGCCCCTCCCGGCCCCGCGGCCTCGGGTGGGCTGGAGCCGGCCCTGCTCCCTCCCGTCTCTGCGGCTGAGTCCAGATGCCCCAGCTCAGTGCTGGGCCCTTCCCTGGGCTGGAGTGCAAATTTCAGGCTGGTCCCTCCTGCTGTCAGGCTGGGTAGGGTTGGCCTGACTTCTCTCTGAGTGTGGCTTTCCCGTCATCACTGAGCGCCTGAGCTTCCCTCTGTAGATGACCTGGTTCCGCAAGGGGAGGAAGACCAGACCCAACTCCAGGCGCCCTCCCTAGACTTGAGCTGCAGATGCCTCCTTCACCCCTCTGCCTCCCAGCCTCCCCCCTCCCCTCCCCCCTGCTGAGTCACCACTTCCCGCCTCCCATTGTTTCTCCCCCCACCCCCATCAGTCAGTGTGGTACCTGGGTTAATGAACCAGTGGTGAGATGCAGGGGAAAGAGCGGGAGTCACACAGGCTCAGTCATGAGTATGACCTTAAGCAGCTCCCTTCTACTCCCAGAGCCTCAGTTTCTTCATTTGTGAAGTAGGGAGAGTGAGCACACCTCACAGGGTTAAATGAAAGCGACACAGATATTGTTTCTTTGCCCCAACCTATTTTGTGAGCATGTGATTGCATCTCCTTGCCTAAGTCAGGAGGTTTCTTAATGGAAGGGGCTGTGTACCCTAAATGCCAGTGAACCCTCTTTCCATCCTGTGAACTACAACATGCCCCTGTAGGGGACTTTAGTTCCTTTTAACATAAAAGGAAAGACCAGGGTCATGGGAATGCAGGGTTGACTATGGAAGGGGGCAAGGACCAAGGCCATCTCTGTGGGGATGCTGAGGCAAGAAAGGTCAGGGTTCTCAGGAGGCACACAGGGAGTGCTGTGGGCTGCTGGGACACTCTCAGCCCAAGCCAGGAACGGGGCTGGGGACCTGGATTTCAGAGTGACCCCCAGAATCAGTGCCACATGCATAGAAACCTACCCTGTCCAGAACTCAGGCCTGCCAGGGAAGAGTCCCAAGATCCAAGATTCCAGGGTATGAAGCCCTGAACTTTAGAGGTGGTTAAAAACACAACTTTTGGAGTTAGACCTGAGCCCAGATGCCTGCCCTCTTCAGCTAGAATTTTTGCACAATTTTACCTCACTGAGCCTCAATTTCCTCATCTGCAAGGCGGGCAGAATGAAACCTACCCAACAGGGCTATTGTGGCTAAGCTGCCATATGCTGGTCAAGTGCCTGGACAGAGTTAAGTGCTCGGGGAAGGAGTGCTGTTATTGTTCTGGAAAGGGTGGTGTAGGAGAGGAGTTGCCCCTGGAAATGGGCTATTTCCTAGACCTTGGTCTGGAATGAGGAGCCGGCAGAGAAGGGTAAATGTTTGGATGTTTGCAGACATCCTGGGTGGGGGCTGGGGGTCTGTTCTTCTCATCCACTGTGGCTTCTGCTGGCTTAATTCATGCTGTTG